TACACACATACGCACACAATCCATTGGCACATGAATGGACGAAGTGTGACATATGAAATATTACTCAGCCACAAAAAAGAAAATCCTGGCATTTGTAACAATGTGAATGGACGTTGAGACATTATGCTAAGACAGAAAAAGACAAATACCATATGATCTTACTTATACGTGGTATCTAATAAAACAGAACTCATAGAAACAGAGAAGAGATTGGTGGTTGCCACAGGTTGAGAATGGGAGGGTGGGGGAAACTGGTGAAGGTGGTCAAAACTTCCAGGTATAAATAAATCCTGGATATATAATGTACAGCATTGTGACTAGAGTTGACAATACGTATTGTATATTTGAGAGCTGCTAAATAAGTAGATCTTAAATGTTCTCATCACAAGAAAAAAAATTTGCAAGTATGTGAGGTGTTGGCTGTTATTGTGGTGATCATTTCATAATATTTACATATATAAAATCTTTCTGTTATACACCTTAAACCTATACAATGTTATGTCAATTATATCTTAATAACTCTGGAAGAAAAAATAATAAAGGCAATGAGATTGCTGCATAAGAAAACAAACAAAATTCTGGCCCGCCAAAAAATATATTCCATAAAAAAGGTATGTAATTAAGTGTTGAACCATCAATAATATAAAATGAATACATATTATGAACAGTGATAACGTCGGTGGGAGGTAAAACACAACATTCAGCAGAGTTCTTGCCCTCACAGAGATTAATCACAAATTAGGTGAAATGAGACATGAAATCCCTAGTTCCTACGGGTTACACTGCATGATCTCCACCATCTCTGCTACAAGAGACTAGGATTCCAGAATTCCATACAGAACCATGACTTGTGCGGGATGGGTCATCAATCCTCTAGGAGCTTCAGCAAGGGGAAAGTTCCAGGAGCACTGCTGTGACCCTGAAGGCCCCTGAAAGATGGCAGCACTGGGTTAAGTCTCAGAGACTGGGATTCACGGCTTGTGGATAGGTGGGGAGACGTGAGTGTATAGTGTAGTGTCCTGCCAAGTCAGACTCATGAATAAATAGATTTATGCTCTGAACCTAAAGATTTAGGGGAGAAAAGAATAAATCAATTTTTAAATCCTCTCATCTCATATGAAATAATACCATAAAACAAAACACTAGCAAGAAAAAAACCCAAAAAACAAAGAGCACTCTAGGAAGTGACAGCAAATGTTTACACCTTGGTTCTAAGCTATCAGATTCCCAACTGTTTGTGTGAATAATCTACACTATAACATTCTTTTCTTTCTGTCTTGGCCTAAGGATATGGGTACTAGGACCCTTTGAAATTTCAGAAGGAAAAGAAAAAAAAAAAGTGTGTTAGGAAAGAAAAATGAGAATAATGTTTTATCAGAATAATGATAACACAGGTGTCCAAAACAAGACAAAAGCAGAACCCACAGGAGAGGGAAAAATCATGGATGCCACATATCAAGAGGCTTTCAGAAATGTGTAAATATGGTAGTCTCCTTGTTGCGATTTCACTGCAGAAGCCCTCTGATCTGACTTGATCACAAGTGGCCCAGTTAATCAAAATGTCAGAATACAGAATCAGAAAAATGTTCCTCACGCCCATTTGTGTTCCATGCAGAGGGAGCAGAGAAGGGAGGTGGAAGGGAGGGACCTGAGCTGGATCACGGGTTTAGATTACCAGCTGGGGGACTCTGTGCCTGAGAGTCCCCATTTGTAAAAATGGGTGCAAGGATACTTGCCTGCCTCATAGGACTGTAATGGAGATGAAATTGGTAAGTGCTGTAAAGGCTGTAGAAATGTACCTGACACGTGGTAAACACTATGCATTTGTTAAGTAACATTGTTGGTAGGGCCAAAGCTACTTCTTTGCCTAGGGATCCTATTATTAGAGTCTGTTTTGTTTGGCTTTTTTTGGCTGGGGGGCGGAGAGGGGCATTAAACACATGCTTTATGCATTGTTTATGCATATGTCTTTGTTTTGGGTTTTCTTAACGGTGTAACAAGAACTTAAAATCACTTGGGAAGCAATTTGCACACAGAATGCCTCTATGTTTAATACAATTCTCCAGTCCCACAATTTTTTTTAGTTAGGCATCTATATTTCATTTGATCATAAACATTTATTTAGTGATTCGCCTTTATAGATGGTTTTGAAGCACTCAACTTTGTTTTATATAAACAATTCTTTCGGTATCACATTTCATCAGTTTATATAGTAGTTAAAAATGATATAATCACCATAAATACTACTTGCAGAAACATACTGAGTTACAAAGATGGCTCATTTATGGTGAGCATTCAACTCAACTGGTAAGAGAAGAAAGTATACTTAGTGGAGAACTCTATTAGTTGCCAATGTTTGATGAGTTGAGTGTTTTTTAACATGATTTATAAGAAGAAATGGTGAGTGTTGGTTAATCTGGCCAGTGGATTCAAATAAGGTTAATTAGAGATTCAGGTTCCATTAAGAACATTACTTTGGGGATTTTACTTGCTATACTGACTTCTCAATTCTTTGGAATTTAGCTCAAATTATTCATTTTAATACAGAGGGCCTTGATACTCTGATTTGTTACCACCCCTAGTCCCAGAGATACCATTCTAGAAACTGGAATCGCCACAGATGATTACTGCCCTTCTTAAGAATTTCACTTTCAGGTTAGAGTTTTTTTTTGTTTTTTGTTTTTTTTTTCTCAGCATGGATCTGGTTCCCTTTATAAATTTCCCAGAAATTTTATCATTTATTCACTATTCCATTCAACAAATAATTACAGAGCTTCCGCAGGTACAAAGCAAGCAGAGATTGCTTTTACTTTAGCCAGTGCTCCACAGTATGTATTTGTGCCACCAGAAAATAAAAAAAATCACGAGTCACATAATTAGCAGACCCCCTGAAAAGCCAGCAACTCCATCTCTCTGTGATTGTGAGCTGTAGATGGTGGAGGGCAGGCAGCCTACTTTCTACCATTTTTCTTTACAGAACTATTAACAGCCCATCTTTCAGAAATGTTATTTAAATTAGAATGGCTCCTGGAAGGGAAGACTATTTGGGGAGGAATATAAAGTGTGTTGGCTGAAAATACCCAGTGAATAAACACTGAGTTCTATTGATAGCATACACACCATTCCCTGCCATTTGGATATGGATTTCAGAAATTTGTGACAGCCAATGAAGAAGTTTAAATATCTATGGCACATGTATTTATTATGGAAATAAGCCATCATGATTCATAAACAGAGACTATGGATCCTTAAACATTGTTCCAGAAAAGCCTGAAGTTAAACCAAGCAAGATGGAAAAATTCATGAACATGCAACAGCTGTTAAAAGTAATTATAAGGGCGCCTGGGTGGCTCAGTCGTTAAGCATCTGCCTTCCGCTCAGGTCATGATCCCAGAGTCCTGGGATCGAGTCCCACGTCGGGCTCCCTGCTCGGCGGGAAGCCTGCTTCTCCCTCTCCCCCTCCCCCTGCTTGTGTCCCCTCTCTAGCTGTGTCTCTGTCAAATAAATAAATAAAATCTTTAAAAAAAAAAGAAGTAATTATAATACTGGATCTTGATATGAGAGAGCAAAAGAAATACAACTTTTTACAGATGCAAGATTCTCTCTGACAAACATCTGCTGTGGTTGGGACCAGGAAAGAGAATAGAGATAGACAAATTTCTTTCTGTATAATTTTTGAGTCATAAATTATGAATTATGCTTTAGCAGATAAGGCAGAGAGGAAATTAATTTAGGAGATGAGATCTACTGTACAATTCAGAGACTGTTTTTATTTTAATTTGGGGGGAAAATTATACTTTTGATGTTCGGCTTTATCAAACATCTTTCTTTCAATGAAATGAATGACAATTTCTCATTATTTCCCTGAGGAGTCAAGAAAAGATGTTCATGCCAAAGTTCAGAGGGTAAATTAGCAACACTGTCCCAGCCATCTGGAAAAGTGTTGTCCTGTAGAATCTCCTATGGTGATGGAAATGTTCTATATATGCACCATCCGATATGGTAGGTGCTGTCCATATGAGGCTTTTCAACACTTCAAATGTGGCTAGTTTGGCATAGGAACTTAATTTTCATTTAGCTTTCAATTTCAATGGCACCACGTAGTTAGTGGTTACAGCGCTGGGCAGTGGAGTCTAGAGGATACCTCTGGTCTCTTCCCTTTCTCTCAGCCAATTAGGCCAGGCAGCTGGGGTTTATTTTTCGTACATTGTCCCTGAGAAACCTTACCCTTTGCTAACTTAGCCAGAAGGGTTCTAAGCAAGGCTAATGGGAGCTTGTTTGAGCAAATATACACATTAATAGGATTAAAAAAACCCCCAGGAAACAGCAAAGATCAGCCTCCCAGCCCCCTTTGCCAATTCATGTGTCTCCCTGAAGTCAGGTATGTTCTCTGGTGCTTTGTCAGGGACCTCATTCAAAATGATTCAAATGGTTTGACTTTCCACAACTTTGCATGTTATGAAGGAAAGTAAAGAAGGAGTTCAGTGAGAGCATTTAGACAAGGAGAACCTGAAAAACACTGAGGCAGAATATAGGAAGAATTGTGTGTGAGGAGGAACTCTGCATGGAGACAGATGTGAAAGAAAAACAAACCCCAGCAGAATTTTTGATTACAGAGAGAATGAAATAAAGAAATGTACTTTGGCATCACATAAAACTCTTCCTTATCGCAGAATGCAAGATTACTAATACAAGTCCCCGAAGTAATCAATTATTTCCCGACTCCATTCCACAGTTCAACTTAGTTTACTAGAGGACACCTTCTAATGGTCCCTTTTACCTGTTTATTATTTGTTGATGTATTTCTTTATCTAAACATAGGTCTAAAAAGTCAGAAATTTAAGAGACGCTCAATTTTAATGACATCCCTTGAGAAGGGGAAGAATCAGGTTCTGATGTATGATGCCTTGGCTATGGAGATACTGAAAACTTTTGAACTAAAGTAACTTTTTGTCAATAGCATTTCAGTGGCAAGGATTGTTTTCCACATAAGTACATACCTGGAGGAGCAGATCAGAAGTTGGTCTGATTCGCTGCTGGAACAGGATGCTTAATGTTCGATTCTGTTGTTCCAAATCAAACACTCTTGTTTTCAACTTTACACATTCCTCCCTTAGATCCTACAACAAACACAGTGAAAGAAAAAAAAAATCTGTAACTGAAAGACACTTTTGCATATTATAACCATATTTTATCTGATATTTCAGACACATTAGTATAAAAATAGTATTTTTATTCTTCAAAGCCCCCGGGGAATAAATCACACACGTTTTCTTCCATAGCGCATTGTCTGATAGAATTACTATGTGCAGAGAAGACCAATTTAAAAAAAAAAAAAAGTACCTTGAAATCAGAAGTGCATTAATCTAGCATGCGATTTTTGAAGATGGTAAATGTTAGCGATATAAAGTCAATTTGAGTTTCTACCTACATATTTTGCCTTTTCACTGTCTTCATAAAAGCAGTCATAAAGCACAAACCACAAGGACAATAATGTTTTTGCAGTGGATAGAGATTTGATGAACTAAAGAAACTATCACTTTTGATAGAGCCTTTCGCTGTCATTTGTGGAAACAAGTTGAAATTTTCAACGTTGGGGCTAATAGAGCCAGTGAGGCATTTAGACAGAGAGAAGCAACTCTGAAATGAAAGCTTTAAAAGGCCACTTGAAACCTGCTCATGCTCTGAACTGGTGGATTTCCATGTATTTGGGGTGGTTCATCTTGGTGCTGGGGAAGAAGTTGACTAGCCATACCTGGGCATCCTTCTGGAGTAGTTCTTTTGAAGAGTTCAAAGACCACAGAGATATTTTCCCCAACTTTCATGAGGGAGGCTGTAACACAGGAGCCTTAGGATTCTCCAGAATCCACCAAGGATCTGCCTTCCAAACTAACTTGTGATAAAGATACTTGTAGTACTTGTCCACAAGTACTCTCTTGGATGGGGTTCAAGAAAGACCAGGTAGAATGATGCCCCAGTTCAAAGTTCTTCAAAAGCTGATCCTTTTCTACATGTCAAACTTGATCTTTCCCTACTTCCAAATTTTTTAAAAAGGTTTCTGCTCTTGCCATTAAAGAACAACGGTCTGCTTGTTGTTCTCAAAACCTCTATGCATTCCTGCCATCCTCTTCCCTCCCCCGCCATCATGGTCCCTTCTCAACCCCCTCTTCCGTCTAGTCCAACTTTGGCATTTTGACTGATGTCCATTTTAAAATCTATCTGTCTCCTCTCTGACACTTTTATCTGGCATCCTGCAAAGACCATTCCTTTTCCTGAACTCCAATAAGCCCTCAATGCCTCTTATAGGACATTTAGCGTACACTACTCTGTACTGATTTTATCTTTCATGCTCTAAACTTATCTTGTCAATTAGAGGGCACGTTCTTCAAAGGCAAGCATAAGAAGATACCCTAATAATCAACAGCACAAGCAGATTGTTCTTACACTCTTTTATTCCATCACCTGGCAAAACACCACATATAGTAGGAACTTAATGAACTGTGTGATTATTTTGTTAAACGGGATGGTGATGATGATGACAAGTTCTATTCCCCAGTGGTAGTGTGATTGAGGCTCGAAGTTTCTCAGCATTTCTAGTTTGTGGATCTATATATTTTGATGTGGGGCAGCTTCAGGGCTTACTTAAGACTCTGCAAGCAAGACAGAGCATGAGACTACAGCTGTGATCCCCAAGCCCTAAACAGAGGTGAGTGGGCCTGTCCATAACCTTGTGTGAAGCTAGACAGATTCAACTTCTGAGGCTTTACCAGAGCCTCATTATATCCAGATTATATATCATTGATTCTACTTATACAGGGCAAGGAAATAGGCCATGGTGAGGCTCACCGCACAGCTTATACTCTCCTCACCTTTTTAGTTAAATGGGTAGAGTTTATGCATAGGATGTTTCCAACTGATTGCTATCTACAAATGCAGAGCATAGAAGAGAAATGTCATGTTCAGAATGAGGCACCTGAGTCCAAGATCTAGGAGGGCAGCAGCTGCCAAAGTCAGGGGCAGAAGTGTGCGTGTGAGTGTGAGCACATATGCCATTTGGCAGAGGCCACTTTGGGGCCCTAGGCACTGCTCACATTAAAAGGCCAAACTTATTTCCTTTATTTAGAATTCAACTTCTGTCTGTGTCTCACTTACTCTACTTTTTGTTCCTAGCATGCCTATAATTCTCCCTGCCCCCAAACACTAATTGTTTTCAGTATTGCTAATTAAGTAATTAATAAAACTTGACTGTGAGGTAAATAAATATTCATAGTACCTATTGGGTGGGAAAACATAATCATTCTCATTTGCAGATGAAGAAATGGGAGAAGTATGTAAGTGTGGGGTTGCAAGGAGAAAGGAGACCTGGAAGGAACAGCACTGATGATTTTTGCAGCAAAACTGAGATAACTTGAAAGAGTTCTTCAGATGGGTTAAAAAAAAAAAAAAGAGAATAAAGAATAAAAGAAAAAAAAATCAATATACTCTATAGAGATTTTTTTGTACAGCTGCCCAAATTTCAATGGCTATGACTGTTACTTAAGATGGTGAAAGTTCATTTAGCAGGAACACAACTGATTGACCTTGAGAAATGTTCATCACTCTTGGCTCATCTAGATCAGCACATGGCAGAGGAGGAAATGGAAGGCTTTAGGGATGTGACTCTGGTCTTACAATTACTGACCAACAGAATTGAGCTGCTCTGAGAATCTGTAGACATAAAAGAATCATTGCCTGTGTTGTTCTAATATTCTCGCTCTCTTTACTCAAGCTGTGGATGGTAAGGGATGCCAGAGAGTGATCAGCCCAAGAAACTGTATTCAAAACCATGCATGCGTGCCCATATGCACACACGTAAGCACAGCCAGACTGGGTGGATGGAGAGAGAGAGAGAAAAACAGCAGTTTCTCTGACCACTATAGTGAGACCTCGGCAGAGGGTGAGAGTCAGCTGTCTGCGTCCTCGGTGCTTACAACAAGAATCCGCTGACATAAAGTAGCATATGACACATGGAGGCTGTCTACAAGCACCGTTATTGTGACCCTGACAGTGAGAGAGGTGAGACCTAAACTATCCTTCCCAAGTAAGGTGTTAAGAAACCAATGAGCTCTCTTCTTAGATGCCATCATTGGCTCACTGAGGAGACTGGGTCATCTGTTCTCTCTCACATCCTTCTTTTTCTATTTTCCTAGTATATCTCAGACCCCAAGAGGAAGACGCCCCTCCTGAAAATACAGGGTTGTGTCTTCTGCAATAAAAAAGAGACCTGATTTTATCAGGGGGGAAATAAAGTCAACAGTTTGACTACATTTAATCTCATATAAGAAAGTACAGTGGCTTCAAGAAAGTAGCAGACCTGTTTTCCTTGCAATCTGCCCATCACTATCAACTGGAAACAGAATATGGGATTAAAGCTGAAGGTAAGGGCAAAATATACCAGTGATACACTGGTCTAAAAGACCCTGTGCGTCTTCATGATCTCAAACCATAGCTTCCCTGAGTATCCATGCCTTGTAATCCTGGCAAGTTTCATCTGCTCTGGGGCTAAAGAAGATTCTGGACCTACTGCTGTCAGGACCTATGAGTACAGTTGCTTCAATGCATTTAGAATTAAACCTTTCCCTGCTGACGTCAGTCTAATAAACTGTTGATTGCTTAGAAGCTGGACATATAGTGACATCACTGAAGTATTGATGAAAACTATTTAAATCTGATTTTATCATGTAAAAATGATATAAGAGTGATAAAACTATTTTAGATGCAAGGCATATCATGGGAATACACCAGATTGGGAGTTAGGGGGTCTGGACTCTCGTCCTCCTTACCCACATGACCTTGAGGATGTAACTTATCCTGGTGTTGCCTCAGTTCCTTGATCTGTAAACTGAGCTACTATACAAAACAGGACTTCAAGAGAATGCATGTCTCAGCTGCTTCATGAGATGGCTTTTCCAATGCCACTTCATTCCTTCCCCGAAGCTTAACGGCCACCATACCCACCAGTTTCTCCTTGTAACATTCCTTCTCAGTGGCTGTCACTGATACAGCCCTTTCTTTGCCAAGGATACTAAGACTCATGTAAAAAGAAAAGCCATCTCTCAGACTCACCAAAGGCCTCAACGTGAAATATCTAAAAGGCAAGGCAGGTAACAAATGTGCACCTGAATCAGGCCAGCCCTAATGAACGGGAAGTGGTTAGTCCTGTGGCAAACTGAATACTGCAAGCCTTCATCCCAAACACCTTTGGATTAAAACATTTTTTTTTTTTTTAAGATTTTATTTATTTGACAGAGAGAGACACAGCGAGAGAAGGAACACAAGCAGGGGGAGTGGGAGAGGGAGAAGCAGGCTTCATGTGGAACAGGGAGCCTGATGCGGGGCTCAATCCCAGGACCCTGGGATCATGACCTGAGCCGAAGGCAGACGCTTAACGACTGAGCCACCCAGGTGCCCCTAAAACATTTTTAATCTGGGTGGTGGCTAAACAAGTTTATGTAATCATTGTAAATTAAACCCATTATTGAAGTTGGTTGACAATCTCAGGATTAAATGCTCGCTAAGGTCCTTGGCAATTGTGAAATTCTGGGGTCCAAAATCAGATGGATTCTGAGAAATCTTGACTCCAGATTTAGAGTCAGTTTTGACTCCACACATGTCAGATCCTGAATATTTTTCTTGCTAGCCAGGACTGGCAATGTTTCCAGAAGTTTTAAGAAATCCATTGGTTCCCTTGCCCTTTTGTTCTATTTCCTGCGGTCATATCTAATGATTGGATTTCAATCCATCTGTTGATTTCCACAGCCCCATCTCTGCCTGCTGAACTACAGTGGGGGAAAAACAGTAAATGATCGAAGGGGATTGTGGAGGTTGAACGTTGCAAAGGGAAGATTTGGAGTGCGGCAACCCTAGGTGAACATAGAGGCTTTTGCCACTTCTTGCCATCAGCACTATGGGAACACTGTTTTCTTAGTCCTATCTTACAGAGTTGCAGTGAGGACAAAATGACTTAGTGCATTTAAAGTGCTGGACATGGAGTCTGACTCCTTGTAACATACACAGCAAATATAAACAAACCCTTTTCCGGGAACTGGACCCTACACACACCATTGCCACTGAGTGGACACGGGTGGCCCGAATGCCCCTCCACAAGGGAAATATGTAGAAGTTTGGAGTTCTTTCAGATACAAGCTACAAAACTGTGCTCTGCTTCTATCTGGTCGCTGCACTGCTGGATTCTACCATATGGAGCCTTATTCCATGTTGGTAAAGAAAAAACACCATATAAATATTGGGTTATCCTAAAGAACATTCAGACAAAGCTGAAGTTGATACGCTGAAAAATGACCAAAGAATAAAAGGTTTTCTTCCAAGTTTGATGACAGTGGCAAAAAAAAAAAAACCACCCAAAAGCAAAAACAAAAATAAAACACCAAAAAAACCACAGTAAAGAACCTAGTACAGTTACATTTTCAGTGAGTGTAATTGACTTAATGAAGATAAAATATATTTCAGACAAAAATAAGAGTTTGGCCTGAATTATTGATTTCATTTGCACTTGTAGCCTCACACCTATGATTTAGAGTCATAAATGGAAGTGAGCTGGGTTTAATATTGTCACTTTAGCTTTACTGATCTAAAGGAGGGACAATCTGCTGTCTTAAGGGAATCCACAGGTTTCTGAGATAAATTGAATTACTTGACTAGGACAGTATATGTACATTTAACAGAAAGTGATAAGTTCATGGAAATAAATTTTTTTTTTTTTATCAGTATTGGGAAAAAGAAGTACACTCTGTTATTTCAAGATGCTTATCTGGGCTAGTTCATGATATGCCAGAAAAATGCTTTTTTTGTTGCTCATGGCAGATTTGCTTTGTGTCATAACAAACGATATATTCTAAAACTGCATGGTTATGACTGTAATTTCACCGCAAAAAAATTTTTTTTGTGACTTGGATAAATCACTCAAAATTTCTGCTTTCACTCTGTGCCAGCTACATCCCTCTTTAGAATTCGTTTTCTCATCTGCTTTTGGAGTACATTTATTTCCTGTATTGTGCTCTTAATTAACAAGAAATTTGACTCTTCCTGTAGCGATTTTATGGTCCCTATAAAAACTGGGAGGTACACGTTTCTGCAGAATATGATTCATTTGGAATCTTTGAAAATCCTGGCATCTCTTCCTGCCCCAGAGTGTCCCTGAGGTATGCTATCTCACACAGTAGCATGTCTTTCTGTGTCTTACTGCTTAACTGTACCAAGGTAGATTTATCTGTTTACTAGTTATTACTTGGATTTGTGTAGCTATTTTTTGCGGCTGACCTGAAGGGTCCCATTTTCCTTTATATTGTACCAGATAGCTTCCTTGTCTCTTTCCTGAGGCACCATTAAAAAAAAACAGGCACGAGAAGTTCTTGACAGTTACACACAGGGCTGCAACAGTGCTTCCTCCATTCCTTAAGTTTATAATTAAATGAGAATAGAATTTCCAACAGGAGGAAAGCAAATGAAAAATTAAAGCCTTTGAAAAAGAAAAAAAAAAAACAAAACATTTCAAATATGCTGTGAAAGAAATTGTGAGATGCCCTTCAACATCTGTTTCACCCCTTCTCCTACAATACTATGAAAATCCATTTTCAGCTAGGCATCTACCCAGAATAAAGACTTCACTGTCAGCTTCCTTAGGTGTGGCTGCGTGACTTAAGGTCTGTTCAAGGAGATGTAAATGAGGAGGTAAGAAAGCTTTTGGAGGGCGCCTGGGTGGCTCAGTCGTTGGGCGTCTGCCTTCGGCTCAGGTCGTGATCCCGGAGGCCCGGGATCGAGCCCCACATCGGGCTCCTTGCTCAGCGGGAAGCCTGCTTCTCCCTCTCCCTCTCCCCCTGCTTGTGTTCCTGCTCTCGCTATCTCTCTCTCTGTCAAATAAATAAAATTAAAAAAAAAAAAAAAAAAAAAGAAAGCTTTTGGAAGTGTCTCTTTAAGGGCAACTAGTGTGTGCCCTTTTCCTTCTTCATTTTCTTCAGTTTTTCCTCCTTCCTGATGGCTGGAATGTGGATGTGATGACTGGAGCAAGAGCAGCCATTTTGGACCATGAGGTGACCTTGGGAATGGAGGCTGCATCCCATAGAATAACAAGATAGAAACCAGAGACACCCAGGACCCCATGGACTTTGTGGAGCACAGTCACCACAGCAAGCCTATACTGCCTACCTGTAGATTCAGATATGAGAAAGAAATAGTATTTTAGCTTATTTAAGTCACTACTATTTTGGATCTCTGCTACTCACAATGGAACCTAATTCAACCTAATAGGTATAGTCAAATCTTTCTATTTATGTGGTATCAATGTAAAACCTGAACCAGTTAAAATAATTTGAAACAGAAAGCATGATTTAATAAAAGTAGTCGAGGAGAAAATCTAGCAAAAATAATATCACAATGCCTCTACAGTATAAATTAAAAATAATATTTATTTAAGGATCTCCAATGAGAAGTGGTCAACCCCTAATAAAATTATTCTTAATTAAAAAATCAAAATGTCATACATTATTTTGCTATCATTAGCTATGTAATCCAGAATATGCCACATGATCTAAGATTTTCTTTTATAATAAAAGTCTCCATCTCCCAGAGAGGTAATTCAGAACAAACAAAATCTGAAAGAACTAGAATTTAGTCTCTGAGAAACATTATAGAAAGTGATGGGAAAGTTTCAATAAGACGTACCAAAATAGCCAAATTTGGGCAATAACTTGCTTCTGCCCACTCTGGCCCAATAACATGATCTTATATTGTCTGAAGGCAGAATAGGGACATGGCCAAGGAGAAGGCATACAAATCTCATGCTCAAAAATTATTTGTTTTTATCCCTCAACTTTATTGAGGAATAACTGTATATATTTAAGTGTAAAATGTGATGATTTGATATGCCTTACAAGGTGAAATGATCACCAAGATCAAAATAATTAACACATTCACATCTCACATCTTGTTTATTTGTTTGTTTGGTGGTGAGAATGCTTAAGATCTACTGTCAGCAACTTTCAAGTATACAATACTGCCATTTGTTTTATATTTATCACAAACTGATTCCTCCAGGAACATGTGCTTCCTTTCACAGAATGACCACTGCAATTCTGGGAGGTGGGAATTGTTATCCCCACTCTATAGAAGAGGCACGAAGACCCAGAGAAATTAGATAACGTGCCTAACCTCAAAGACCTCTTCCTGAATTTTAGGCTTCTGTTAATCTGTCCATAAAAGGCTATTCATTTTATAGAGAGTGGAGAAGTCCACCAACTTATAGAATATCCGCATTTACTAAATAAATGGGCCCCTGGAAATCTTTCATCTTCTGTTATTTTACCAAGAGTTTCAATCTTATGATTCTATTGGTCACTGATGTTACTTTGTATGCCCATCTAAAACACACACAATTTTAACCTAAGTGAATAAACAGAAAAGTATTGCATCTATCAATCACAATTTCCTGGTTTGACAATATGAGTTCCAACCTATTCACATAAGTACCTTGAAAATAATAAGCCAGAAAGTGACCTACCTTTTGAGTGAGCAGAGCTTGAACAACTTGGTTGGCTACCTTTAAAAAATAAAGAAAAGAGTTGCCGTTTATAATAATGAGACTTTATATGCATGGACTGTAATTTACCAATACGTTTCCCACAGCTTATTCTACCTAATTAGCTCCTCATTTGCCTCTTTCCTCTCTGTGTAGAGGACCTGATTCTTTTCATAATAAGCCTATCCTTCTAGGTAATATTTTGCTTTTTTCCAAAGGTGACCTCGTTGCTAATTAAGATGGTTAGGTTGGGAAGATCATTCATACCTTGACTTCCACATTTCCATATTTGGAAAAATAATATCCTTTCATATGTAAAGTACTCCAAGATGGCTAAAAAATGATACAGTGTAAAACAGGATCCTAATTATCTGTACACAGTTTCTACACTTTGCTGATTTACAATGTCCTTTGTCTCTCCTTCCTATTCTTTTGCTATGTGACTATTTCACTACTTAAAATGACTTGGAATAGACATAGGTTTGAATGGTGGAGAATAAGAGCAGCTCATTGTTTTCTATATGCTCTGTTTATATCCTCCATGTTTTCATTTATGCCATCCTCTTGTCACTGCTACCTGTCACAGAATCTGCTGGTTGTTTACTCTAACATCTATTTTCCCCTAAGTAATGAACTCTGATTTTTTTTTCGCTGGGTACATTTAAATACATTTCCCAGCTTTCTTTGTAGATAAGTGTCACTATGTGACAAATTCCTGGCCAATGAGTTATAAGTCAACTTTTTTTCTTGATCTTATAGAAAGTCTTTAAGAAGAAGCCTCACTCTTTTTCCTCCTTTTCCTGTCTGGGATATAAAAGTGATGGCTGGAACCTCAGCAGCCACCTTGATAATGAAAGTAACACATTAAGTATTGTTGGATGGAAAAATAGCATGAGCTTGGTCCTGATGATGCAGGGAGTTTCACTGTCTATCTCTGAACTTCTATGTGAGAGAGGAAAAAAAAATATCCACTGTTATTTTGAGTTTCTTCCAATACACAATCAAATAGAATTCTTACTACTATATTAACATAATCCTGATTTTTTTCAGGTATCAGGCAGCTTGGGTCAGTAGGAGAAGCTAGGCCCCTTTCAGTGAAGGAGGTGAATCTTGATTAACCTAAACCAAACTTGGCAGCTCCATTCCCTTTCAGCAAATAGTTTAGCACTGGGAATGTGGCACCATTCCAATTGAGAACCACATATAAACCCAATAACATATCCCTGGTATTTGCAAAGATCTGGGCCTTTTCTGGCATTTTCTCCAGATAACCATTCATCATTTCTCTATGTATTTGAGCTAAGATTTCTTTTTCATCTGCAGGTTTCAAAAACATAGTACAGGAAGTCACTTACTTAACTTCACTATAACCTTGAAACTATGTACCCATATGGTTACTCTTGATAAAATTAAGGTGGGCAGGTGAATTAAGTGGAATTTTTCAGCCAGTACATTAACTGTACACATTTAATATGATCACATTTAATATGATCACTGAAACTTACAGTATTAAAGACCAAGTCAGAATATTTAAATGTCCTAGATTAGGTTACTTCTGTTTATTCATTTCTTCCTTCATTTATTGAATATAAATCTGTAGAGTATTTGTAAAGCTAGATGACTGAGATATGTTCCTTGGTTTCAGAGAGAATATAATTGGCAAGTATAACACGCGTGATAAGCACATAATCATCTTGGTAATTCTCACATTCAACCAAAGGCTGAGGGACATGCTTTCATCTTTTCATCTTGATAACCAATTTATTTTTGGTGATACTAAACTATGTGTGTTTCCCTGTCTAGTATAGTGGAACAGATTAGGGTAAGAATGTTTTCATGGAGCTTAATTGTTTTTTCACTCAATATTGACAAAGTAGCACATCCTTAACGACAGTTGGCTACCAGTAAGTCTCACAGAAAATTAAAACGCAGGCTTATCATCAACTGTGGTTAGGAGGCATTCACAGCACAAGCAATAAATGATTAAAATCAGATTACCTATAACTGATTAGTTGAACTGTAGGCACAAGAGGTTTTTTTTTTTTTCCTATCAGAACCCTTTCCAAATTTATATTGTTGACGTTAAGCAAAGAAGAGAGACCTTTCACTGAAACAACTACAGTTTTGGGAAAAAAAAACTTGGACAGTACCTGATATAGTTTATTTATTTATTTTGAAGTCCAGCCCAAGTTAAAGAAACCTACCCAAGGAACCTCAAAGACCAAAATAAACCATACTTCCCTTAACTGACACCTTTTCTTTTCCCTTTATCAGTTGATTTATACATGATCCTAACAGTGATAAATGTTATTCAGCCATACAAATTGACCAATAGTGTCATCTTGAAAACCTTTCAGTTTTTAAATATTCATTCCAATTCGTAAGCACTGAAGATTTAAACGTCTAACTATAGGTCATCTATTTTACTCTTGGCAAATTAAGAAAAAAACATACAACAGAAGAGTTCAACTATTCATACAGCTTGAATCAGGAACAATGTACCAAAATTAATTCATACCATAAATAATTTAATTCTTTTGGATCTCAAACTTTGGATTTGATTTACATTCTCATAAAACTGCCTAATATCAATATTTTCTTTTTTTCCCCCAACTGGTCCCTCACTTAAACCAGGCTGTGGAACAGTGGTCACATAAAATAGCTCTCTAAATGATTTAACAGGAGACATAAATGAATAACCTAACTGTAACAGCCTGCAGGAGAAAATACGTTCTATCTTTGCAATCCGAGTATGTTGCCCTATCGGCTTATAGGCTCCATCTCTGACACAGCTCCTTCTGGCATGTACTTTGGACTATTGTTCTACCTAATAATTGAACAAAGATACATGAATGCCTTATTTCTTTACCTACTGACATGGGGTAGGTTATATTACCCAGAAGGACTCGCAGGTCCTCTGCAGAAGAGCAGGCCGGTTTGTACAAATGCTTTCCTGGGTACTGTCTATAAGACGGTTTCCTGGGTTTATCACTACTTTTAACAGCTAAGCTTCCCTGACGCATCAATAGAACAGCTGTTTGGAGCTTCTGCCTACAACCTCTAATAGGTTCACAAGATGACCCCTGGAATGAGCCCCTGCCCTCATCATAGAATTACACCCTTAGCACTTGGGTTGCAAATAATCACACACCCACAGGCCCAGCTAATGAGAACAAATAACTTCCAGTGTCACCTGACAGCTTCCCTCTCCAAAGAAAGGGAAAATAGCAGATGGGCTGGGCCAGGGGGACTGGAGACAAGCAGAGCAAAGCCAACAGTCCTTAAGTCTCTGGCTTGTTTTACAATCTGCCTTAGGCTCTCTGCAGAGACCCCCCTGTTTTGCCTCTGGTGGGGCACGGTTGCAGGGGAGCCAGAGATGCCAAGGAGAGAGCTCTTTTCATCTCCGTAAGAGTTCTCTCAGACAAGCCAGCTCCTCTGACACCTTGCTCATCTTGGACCCACACAAGTCTTTGTTCTTCTCCATCAGGCTTCTATGGGTTGTGTCCCCGCCCCCAGCCCCCGCTGCACTCCCCTGGAAGCAGGTGGGCAGAGGGAAGAGAAGTCAGGGCTGCGGCTTTGTCTGTGTGTTTTTTGTTTTGTTTTGTTTTATTTTCAGAAGAGTCCTTGAGTCTGAATGAGAAGCCACACCTGGGAGTTATTCTAAGAGGGAGCCAATTCTCACCCAATCCAGAGGACAGCCAGGGCTGGGTCGAAGGTGGCAGTGTGAGGAACTCAAAAGGCACCAAGCTTCGACCAGGTCCTCCTGCCTCATAGTCTTGCTTTTATCCTTGCCTATGCTATGTTATCATGCAAAGCAATTCTCATTTAAAAACCTAATTGGAAACGGACAAGTTTTGGAAAACGTGCTTTGGAGTTTTCAGTGCTTCTGAGTTTGGTTTATCATACTGAGGCATCTGGGGACAAGTGGGAAGAGCATTGGGGCAGAATCACAAGAAGGACTTGGGTTCAAATGCTGCCTGTGTTGATGATACACTGATATGTATGGGGGTCGAGGAGCAGCTTGACTTGACTCATTTGTGATCTAGGGGAACTGGCTACCTCCCAGCTTGTGAAAAATGCATGAGATGATAGATATAACCAGAGAAACCACCTTGGACAGTACCTGCTATAAAGCAGTCACCCCATTAAAGTTAAATCTGAATCTGAGCGTTTGAACTTCAAAGAATAAAATGCATTTTGAAGTAACTAGTTTGATGGGGCGCCTGGGTGGCTCAGTTGTTCAGCATCTGCCTTCAGCTCAGGTCATGATCCCAGGGTCCTGGGATCGAGCCCCGCATCGGGCTCCCTGCTCTGCAGGGAGCCTGCTTCTCCCTCACCCTCTGCTTGCCTCTCTGCCTACTTGTGCTCTCCCTCTCTCTCTCTTTGTCAAATAAATGAATAAAATCTTAAAAAAAAAAAAAAGAATGGCTTGAGAATAAGATATTATATAAGGATGAAGTGTGTGTGTAATATGCATGTATAAATATAAATCATTAAGCACCTATATTATTTTTTTGCTCTGTAAAATACTGGGAGTGGGAGAAATTCATCAAAATATGTATGTGGGATCAGAGGGAATATTAACTGGGAAATTAATTTAGGGCTGACAATCTCCATTCATTCATTTAGTCATTCAACAAATACACATTAAATGCATAGTATGGGCCACAGATTGTGCTGGATCTCGGAGAAATATGCTGAATAGAACATAGATGCTGCCTCATGGTGGTCAGAATCTAGAGCAGACACAAGAAGTCCGTTATCTGTTGATTTCATGGTCCATTCATGAAATGGGCATTTGAAGCACATGAGAGCCACAAGCAAGATCATCATCTCCTATCTCCATCGGTCAAGACGTTGCTTTTCAAGATTACTTAGGGCTCAGGTGAGGGACATACACTGAGAATGTCTGATGATTCCACAATCCAGTCTTGGATTATAGCATAGGAATCAGAGAGGAAGGTCAAAACTGTTCTTAACAACCTATTTTTGCCTTTATTTAGCCTGTGGGAAGCCTGCTT